TGTATATATATATGTATATATGAGTATATATATATGTATATATATGTATATATGTATATATGTATATATATATGTATATGTATGTATATGCATATGTATATGCATATGTATATGTATATGTATATGTATATGTATATGTATATGTATATGTATATGTATATGTATATGTATACGTATACGTATACGCATATGTATACGTGTACGTGTACGTATACGTGTACGTGTACGTGTACGTATACGTATTGGTATCGGTAGAGCACGCACTCAACGGCAACACTGTACTTTCCCAGTCACAAACCAACCGCCAAACAACTCGTTTACGTTCGAAGTGAGCATGCACTTAACGGAAACACACACTGTACTTCGTCACAACCACAAACCCACCTTTCCTAAGGAAACCAAAAAGGATCTTTTGGGAAACTATACGGTCAAACTCCAGAAAGTGTTTTTTTTGGTTTGCCCTAGGGAAAAACTGGTTTTCGATGCAGCAAAGGCCAAATTTTCCAAGGAAAAAAGGGTTTTGTGCCGAAAAAACAACTGTTTCCTATGACAAACATGGTTTTGTACCGAAAAACCAATTTTTCCTAGGGGAAACCAAAACAAAAACAAAAAAACAAAAACGTCTTTTGGGAAACTATACGGCCGGACTCCAAAAGGATCGTTTTTGGTTTTGACTTAGGAAGACGTTGGTTTTCGGTGCAAAAACCACATTGCTCCTTGCAAAGAGTGTGTATTTCATTTGTTGTTTGGTGCAATACGAATAGTGTTGCCAACAAGGTTCGTCGAGTGTCATTGCTGTTGCGATTCGATTTCGGTTCGCATGAATATTATACAACAGGCAATTACGAGGACATTGTTCGGATCAGCCTTGGGGTACATAGGGAGCTAGTACTGCAGGTTTAGCACAGACCAAGACCCCGGATATCAGGGTTATCACAGCTACCACTACGATTTCTTCTAGCTGACTAAGGTTGTAATTTAAATAAGAGAAACATCGGGATCAGAGTATGGGTGGTACGACGCCTACTATGGATGGCCTTTGGGCTGCTGTCAGGCCGAATACCATTGACATAAGTCGAATGACAATGATAGGGTTAGGGTTGATGTTGTTTGGAATCAGTAGTTTGGTTGGTATCTGGTACAGGTTTGAGCCCGACAGCAAGCCAGAGATGATCATATGCTACAATGGGAAACGGGTTGACATATACAATTTGATGAGGTAAACAAACAAATGCCGGTATCATCCTTACAAATCTAAGGGCCATCCTTTGGGCAACGCCAAAGCGAACACAGCAAGGATCGTTGCTCTCAATGGCTTCGATTTGTGTAGTTTGATATTTGAATGAATGTGACGGCTGCCGTTGGAGTACATGCTAAGCAAGTATTTTGCTTAATTGCATTCATAACAACACAATAGTATCAGGGATGCCATGACGTTGAACTTCGGGGACTTGAATGCTCGTGCCAGGGATCCCACAGCTACATCTGGAATCGTTAACCTGCTGATGAGGCCAAGGGTCGGGGTTTCTCCCAAAGCCATTATTTGGGTTGCTGTTGAAGGGAGTATCCGGTACAGTACGAAGGTTACCAACACGAACAGCTTATGCGTATTATTAAGTTTGCAAGTAAGGTCCATCTTGGAGTCATATCCAATATCTGGGGTTCAGTCGACATAGCATTTTAATCCATATGAACTAAGACGTGAATTTATAAGGACTCTTTTGGGTGAGCATGACATAGGGGACTACTGTCACCATTGGAGCCAATGTAAGGTTTAATGGCAGGATTGGTCTTAGGGATACTGCTTTTTAGGAATAGGAGTCAGTCAAGGCCCACGGTCATTCATACGTATTGCAGGGGCTTTGATCTGAGACTACAGTGAGGGCTCCCTTGACAGAAATGACCTTCATCGTCGGAGAAATCATCTCTCGGAGTAATTGCGTGAAAGGTCGCGAGAATTCAGAATGAAGGCGTCTGCCGATATACATATGCTGTCTCCTCGGAACGTCAAAACCTAACGTTAAACCTGGATCATACACCA